GATTTATTTGCGATATTTTATCTTATTAACTAAATTAATCTATTTTGTTTTTATTAACTAATTTAGCCAATTTAGCTTATGCCAAACAAAACTAGTAAAATAATCTTATTTATCAGAAGCACCACAAACCTGAATGACAGAATAAAAAGAACTTTTAACCCAAACCATCCATTATATCTCCAACTACTTTTTTTTTTGTTACAGGAAAATCCTCCCTACCCTCCCGCAAGTCCAAGGCAGCGCCCCTTGCAGAAATCACCAGGGTGTCCTGTTAGCCGTTCCGAGTGAAGAGACTATAACCTGGGAACTTGCTCTGACCTCCCAAGACAAGCTCCGCTTAAGTCAGGACTCGCACAGCGGGACAGGTCCAAGGCAGCGCCCCTTGCAGAGATCACCAGGGTGTCCTGTTAGCTGTTCCGAGTGAGGAGACTATAATCTGGGAATTTGCCCCGACCTCCCAAGACAAACTCCACTTAAGTCAGGACTCGTACAGCGGGGGAGCATTGAACCCGCACAAAGTGCTGATTAGATAACTTGAGGTCCAACCTCCTAACCAACTGTGCTTCGCCCAGGAGATTGGCCTAGAGGGGAGGGAATTGAACCTGTGACCTTGGGGCTTAAACCCCAAGCCTTAACCACAATGGCACCCACCCCTGGGTTATCTCCAACAACTTAAGCACATAAGAACCCAAATCTAAAACATATGCCATAAAACATACCAGGCAGAGCCAACCAGAAGGCAAGTACTCATCTTTTAACTTCCAACCTACTGGCTGCAAATGGTAGATAGCAGAATAAAAAATAATTAAAATCCACCAAGGAGATTAACATCCAAACAGATGTAACATATGAACAATGGGTGTTCAGATTTACACTAAAAATTATTCAAAATTTAAAAAAGAAATCGTTCACTGGAAATAGAGGAACAAATCATTCATTGGTCAACTAAAGCAGCAACTAATCAATATGCAATGCAATGTACACCTTGCTATAGCAAGATTTTGATCCATGAGATCAAATAGCTTATATCATAGGCAGTTGAACTCATGTACTGACGCAGTAATATGCTAAAATACATATTGTACTCAAGTCAAGTGCCAGCATGATTAGGTGGTAAAGATACACAAATATACTTATATACATATACATATATATATATATAGAGAGAGAGAGAGAGAGAAAGCATACGCGAGACGGAGCATCAATGGAGCAGAGTTCTTCTCAGTGATGAAGCCTCTGGATCTTGTGGCAGTGGCGGTGGATCTGTGAAGATTGACGGAGGAGGAGGAGGCGGCAGTGTGAAATGTTTTAGACAGGGATGGGGTATGGATCTGCAATCTATGTGGCTCACTCACAGATCTGTGTGAATCGCGTAAACCTGTTTTGGTTGCTTGCTTTGGTTCTCATACTTGAGAATTTTGATGGGAAATTAGCTTCTCAATGTGGATGTATGTATGTGTAGATGTGAACACAGAAGATCGTAGAAGCAGATAGATTCAAAGATGTGATTTGAAATGAAGTGTTTACTGGAGAAAATTTGGGAGAGAAAATGTGGGTTTGGTTTGGATTGGGCAGAGAAAGAGAGGATGAGAGAGAAGAGTGAGGGCGTGACTCGTGAGATATATAAAATCGTTATTGGCGACTAAAATTTTTTAGTCGCTGAAGGTATTTTACAAATCCCTCCAAAATATTTGAAATGTCTCCCTCCAAAAAATTTTCTTTGGCAACTAAATTTTTTTTTTGTCGCTGAAAATAAACTTTTGGCTACCAAAAGTTTAGTTGTCAAATGTAAAAAATAATTTTTTATTTTTCATTCGATGACTAAATAGTTTTAGTAGCCAAAACTCAATATACGGCGACTAAAATTCTTTTTTGTCGCTGAAAATAAACTTTTGGCTACCAAATGTTTAGTCGCCAAAAGTAAAAAATAATTTTTTATTTTTCATTTGGCTACTAAATAATTTTAGTAGCCAAAACTCAATATACGGCGACTAAAATTTTTTTTTTGTCGTTGAAAATTTGGCTATCAAAATTTTGATCGCCAAAGGTAAAAAAATAATTTTTTATTTTCCATTCGGCGACTAACGAGTTTAGTAGCTAAAACTCAATATACGGTGATTAAAATTTTTTTTGTCGCTAATTCTGGCATTTTTAGCGACTAAATTTTTTTTAGTCGCCAATAACCAGTAAATCCTGACTAAAAAATTTTTTTAGTCACCAATTCCACAACTTTTGACGACTAAATTTTTTTAGTTGCCAATTTTAATCGCCGAATGTGCATTTTGTTGTAGTGTATCTAACAGAAACCCAAGCATCTTTTTCAATCTTTCTCTCTCTCTCTCACACACACACACACACATATTCACACACATATATATAGATACAGCTGTGATGTTTGCATATATATTTGTATAAATTAGGGTTTTGGATATCTGTGTGCAATGTGAATGGCTGGAGGTGGCGCAACTGCGAAGGCGAGCTCCAGCGTTCGCATTGTCGTCGTCGGCGAACGTGACACTGGCAAATCGAGCTTGATTGTCACCGCTGCCGCCACCATTCCCAGATTTTCCGGTGCCGTAATCGTCAGAACCACCTACCAATCTCCCCCACATAGCCTATATTCTCATTTCAACCTCATCCCATCCATTCTTGCCAGAGCCCTCACCATCGCCTGTCTCTTCTTCCTCACCATTCTCTACCGGAAACTATCTTGGAAACGCACAGCTCTAGCAAATTTGAAGCCCCCTCATCGCTTTTCCTACTCGTTCCTCCACCGTACCATCTCATCTTTCTCCATCGCCAACCGCCTCGGCCAAGGTGGGTTCAGGTCGTTTTACATATATATATATATATGTAATGTATGTGTATGTATAGGTCAGATTGGTAACCATCTACATTGCCTTCTATTGTTCTTTTCCCATCAACCATTATTTCATTTTCATCTACCTCTTGATGAAGTGTAGACAGATCACTCTCTACTTCAGAATTAGGGTTCAGTTGGGGCACTTCTACAATTCCATAATTGACCTCCTCACTCAACTCATCCATGGATAAGTTTCTTCCAATCTGCTCTGCATCAGGAGATGAACATAGGCTATGCTCCCTCTGCGGCAATGAAGCACGAGTACTCCATTTTTGGTGCCGTACGAGTACCGGGTACGTACCAGGTACGGGTACAGGTACGCGTACCGGTACGGCTGCACGCGTACCGGGTACAGCCAAAGGGGGTCCGGTACGTTTGGTACATTTGGGTACGGCATGGGTACGGAGGGGTACGCCGTGGGTACGTTTTGGGTACGCCGGGCAAAAAATCAAATTGCAAAGAAATTCAGGGTACCGAAGCAATTTTTTTATGCTCTTTATTAAAAAAAAACAAAAAATAGAGAGTTATTTTATAATATTAAAAATATATACAAACCTGGTTTATCGGGGCATCATAATCTTCAATCTCAATTCTTCCTTCGAATCCTCATCCCTGCCAGCGACTTCCTTGAGAGCAAGATAGAGAAAGCTGACTAAGGGCTTAGGGGTCTCGGAGGGCTTGGAGTGAAAGATTTTGAGGGTGAGGAGGGAGTCGTGGAAAGGGAGGGAAAGGAGGAAGACAAAGTGCTCGTTCCAGACAGGGCGGGTGGAGCCAAAGTCGTCGAACTTGGTGGCCAGACGGCGATCTGAATCTACCTATAAGATCGCGTAGGGCTTCAGATCGTCGGACTTCTTTCAATTTCTGCTGGTGGGTTGGGTTGATTTGCTGTGTGAAAGAGAGAGAGAGATAGAATGGTTCGGTGCTGCAATTGTCTTCGTTGGAAGGGGAAACTGGTACTGCAATTCTCTTTCTTTTATTTACACCATCTCTCTCTCTCTCTCTTTGTCTATACAATATAATATAATTATACACTGACTTATCCTTTTGAATACACTGAGTCAGCACCACACACTGACTTATAATCCTATAATCCTATAATCCTTATAATCCTATGAATATGTGTATTTTTATTTTTCTTTCCTTTTATAACAAATTAGTTTCACTGACTTATCTGAAGGGAAAAAAAATTTATAAAAAAAGTAATAATAATTTAGAATTTTATTTTAATAATAAATCAAACTTTTAACTTTTAATTATTTTAATTTTTAAAATGATATTAGTTATGACCATTTTTGTAATCCTCTTTTTAGTTTTGATATTAAATTTTAATTTGTAGGTTAGATCTTTAACCACAATTATAAAAATAAAAATAAAAATAAAAATTATCGGCGTATCGTAACCGTACTCGTATCATACTTTTTTTAAATTTTGACGTATCGACGTACCTGTACTCACACCCGTACCGTCCTCGTACCCGCACCCGTGCTTCATAGCCCTGCGGTGATTTGTTTTCAGGATTCATTGTATTGATTTCAAGTATTTCAATCCCTGATTCACTAGGAATATTCGATGGTAATCTCAAGGGCAATAAGTTACCAAAACTTTCAGAAAATGACATTATGATCTAGTGGAGGAGTCTTCAAGAATTTCTCCATGTCCATTTTCCTAGTTTTTGAGTCAAATAAAATAATTATAATAATTATGGACGAATCTAAAAATGACACGTATATCAAATAAATGTAAAAAGTTAACCCAAACAAACGGAGACAGATGGAGGGTCAACATTGGGACACGATTAAAAATTCAGAATTTAAATTGTCAAAATTAAAATATTGAGATTTAATGTGAAAAATATGCTAAACCTTGAGTTTTGTTTTTTGTAATTTCCTTTTTTTTTTTTATAAAAATTATAAGATACGTATAGGAAAATAAATTTCATTGGGTTGAAGTCACTTGAGTTAGAGCTTGTTTGAGATTTTTTTTTGGTTAAAATAATCTAAAAAAATAGATTTTTTAAGTACAATTAGACAAAATATTTCATTTAATCTATAATTATTATATTATTTTTCTCATAAAAAATCAAAAAAATAAAAAAACCTTTCCCAAATCAAACTTTTTAATAACAAAAAAAAATCAGAAACGCAAAAAAAGCAAGCCACTTCCCAAAACTAACCTTCAACTCTGAAGCCTCTCGCACCACACTAGTGGAGTGGAGCCGACCTTTCCAGAGTTCCCCACCACAGCAGAAGCAATGGCGAACCCTGAACAACAAGCCAAGCTCGATCGATTCCTTCAGTGGTTACAGGTCACCAAAATCTTCTAAAACCCTAATTTTTTCTTCATTTATTAACTTTAATTTTACATGGATTATTTTATTTTATTTTCCTTTCGATTTTATCTGAACTCGAATTTAAACTCAGTTGAATGGGGTCGAACTACGCGGTTGCAAGATCAAGTACTGCGATTCGAACAAAGGGTTTGGCCTCTTCTTATCTGATGATGTCTCTGATGGTAATTAAAAGCTTTCTTTTTACTCTTTTTATTGTTAATTCACTTTAGTTTGTTGTTGGGTTGGGTTGATTGGTTTTGTGGCCTGTTTGGTTGGTGAGAAAATGTTGAAAAAAGTTAAAAAGAAATTGGAGTAAAGTTGTTGAATTAAGATGTTGTCATGTGAGAGTGTATGAACCCAGAAAGAAAAAAAAAATGAAAAAATGAAAAAAAAAGGCAACTTCAAAATTTTAATTTCAAGGAAGTTTGTTAGGAGTTTACTTTTACTTTTAGTTCACTTCCTAATTGTTAGCAGCAATAAAGCTAAGCTCAGGGAAATATATTTGGATGTTTGACTAATGAGGACATAAAAATGAAATGCAAATGTTAGTTTTCTTTTCATTCCCTCAAGTTCTTTAATTTTTTTTTGGCGATCAGACTCGAGGTTAGGAAACAAATCATGGATGCTAAGTAAACATGAAATATAAATTATGTTGGAAATTTGAATGATGATATAGCTGGGAAAATAAAAACCTCATGCTTAGCAGCAATTTGTGGAACTAAAACAACATCAAAAGTTATTCTTTCCATAATTTTCATTTTTTCATCATTTTTGTTTTCCATCAGAAGAGAAATAGAATTAACTGTCAATTTTGAAACTCAGCGGTTCTACTAGTGGTTCCACTAGATTTGGCTATAACTCCGATGAGAGTACTTGAAGATCCTATTTTGGGGCCAGAGTGCAGAGCAATGTTTGAGGAAGGGGAAGTAGATGACAGGTTCTTGATGAATTTGTTTCTAACTGTAGAACGCCTTCGGAAGAATTCTTCTTGGAAGCCGTAAGTATAGCCTGCATTTGGTCTGTTTTGAGATGGTATGTGTCTGTCTATGTTGGTTAATGGTATTAACATCTTGCAAAAAATTATACTTAGGTATCTTGATATGCTTCCAACCACATTTGGGAACCCGCTTTGGTTTACCGATGATGAGTTTTTGGAGCTGAAAGGCACTACGTTGTATCGGGCAACTGAATTGCAGGTCAGTGCTTTTACAATAGTTAAATTGTTTACATATTCGGGTGAGTCTCATTCAAATTGTTTGAATTGTGAATTTTGTCAGTTATTCCAGGTCTCCAAGCTGATATAAAAAAGAAAAGAAAAGAAAAAAAAGAAGAGAAATCAAACTAATGCTGCTTCAATATTCATTTTTTACTTCTATTTATCCCAAAAAAAAAATTCATTTTTTTACTTCTCCTTTTTTTGTTCTTCAGATAATTGATTTCTCATGAAACAATTACATCCTTTAATTTATTTCACACTCAGTCGTAGACAATTGTTTTTTGTTTTTTTAGTCATTGACTTGTTGATTTATATTGCTTCATTTTAGTTTTTGGATTTAGTAAATTAAATTTCACTGTCCAACATATTTAATTGAAGACAGGTTTATGTTACAGAAGAAAAAGTTGCATTCTTTGTACGATGATAAAGTAAAAAATTTGGTGAAAAAGCTTTTGGTTCTCAACGATGATACAGAAAGGTGTGTGGAAAGTTGTTTCTTAATTTTATTTAATTATTGGAAATGCAGATACAGGTTGGTTTATCCTGCCTTGCTTGAGTTTAGTTGTGTCAATACTATTACTAGCTTACTTACTAATACTATTGACGTACAATACTAGTTATTTTCATTGTTTGTTGAGAATACTGAAAAATGGCATGGTTGTGTAAATACCGAAGTAGTTGTTTGTTTATTGGCTCTAATAAATTCAAGAACAAAATAAATAAATAAATAAAAAATCAGAAGCATGCACTGTGCAAAGAAGTGGAACCTCATTAATCGGTGTAACTTCTTATTGACAGGCAATGATGTGAAAACCGAGAGTAAAATGCACTGTGTAGAGTCGTCATGTATTGGGTACAACATGAGTGCCCAAGCGTAAATGTTCCTTATTTGAGGAAGTTTGCTTGCCCAAATTAGATGTCTCATTTCTATCAATTGAGTCTCAGTGTTTTCAAGTCCAGGCAAGAAGCTTACCATTGACAAAATCTAAAATTTTACAAGGAGCACATTTAGGGCATCATTTTTGTCATTATATTAATGTTTATTAGCTGAGGGTATTTTGATAATTTTGTAATTTGCTAGTCATGGGCTGTAGGGGTCACCCATGGGTTTTGTTACGAGTCAAATTATGTCATTGAGACTTCTATGGAATCATTATTAGGTCTAGAATTTACTAGCTGGTACAAGTTTCTTAACTTATAATTATGGAATCATAATCTTTGTAGGAATAGGAAGACTGTAGCAGCTTATAAATAGGCATGTAATATTTCTTTTCAAGATGGAGTTGATATTATGTTTTAGTGAATAAAGGCACCAATTGTTAATTTGTACATCAAATAGCATATGCAGGGATGGAATCAAATATTGATTTGGTGGACTTTGGCAATATAGTAAGTGTATTTTAAGACTTAATAAACAGTGCTTTGGATATAGGTGCAACATATTATAGACCAAAATGAGAAAATAGAGAGATTTGATTGTACCCAGGGCACACGTTACACACTAAATCAGGCTTTTATTTAGTTGTTTTTTGCCTCCCTCATTCAGAGTTGTTAACACTAGTTTCAAGTTGCTAGCTATTCTCCAAGGTTTTTACCCTTCTAGTCGAATTAGCAGGTTCCCATGATTGGAGATTCCATCATGTTTTCTGTGAATCTGTTTCCATTACATATGATATGAATTACAAACATCTCTCTATAGATATAGCATGCATTGCAGTTATTGTTACCCTTTTTATCAGTTAAATCCTATTGGTGCTGTTCAATTCTTGACTTAAAAGTGTTTCTTTTTGGCCAGTGAAGTGTGTTTTGAAGACTTCCTCTGGTAAGCATCTTCTCAAAGAACTGTTGTGAGTTATGTTTACATCTTAGTTGTTTCCTTGATATATGTATATGGATTGTGCCTTGAGTAACATCATCATCGTAGGGCAAATTCAATATTTTGGACTCGGGCTCTGAATATTCCTTTCCCACGTTCATATGTCTTTCCGCAAGTACAAGATGAGCAGGACAACACCTTGCCTAGCTTTAACGGAAATCCTGAGGCATCCATTAGTAATATTTCCAGTGGAGAGTTGGTTGATGGAAAAGGTGAGGCCATGTTTTCCTTACTACATTTCCATGAAGTCGAAGCTTTCTTACGATGCAATATAGTTGTCTACTGATGAAATTACTATGATCTGCTTTTTTAGTTGATATTATAGCTTGGTGAACTGATATCAGAGTTCTTTTTTTTTTTCTTATAGGGCTTGAGGTTCATGGGGTGGAAAGCCAAGTCCCTGGAGTGACATCCACTGTGATACATGGCGAGACTGTTTGGGTTGAGGGTCTTGTCCCTGGCATTGATTTTTGCAACCACGGTATTTCAGTTGGTCTTTGATATCGTTATTGGTTCACTTAAAAATCCTTCTTTTGGCCCCCCTTTTCCCCTTTGTGTTTGTTATCTTTTGTTGATAAAGACACTTATTCTATAAGTAATGGTGTGGAAAGCATTTGATGATTTGGCATCTTTTTTGGATGCTAGTTGGTACTCTTGTTTGGGAATTGGCTATTTTAGTTGACTTTTTCTTTTTTTCTTTTTTCTTTCCGAAAAAACGTGCAGAAAAGTAGAGAGAATGATGTGACAACCTATAGTGACTTTTTGACTATTTTAGCCTATTGACAAATGAGGCATAAGCTCTATCTCCTACCAGTATAAAATTGTGTGGAAAAAGAAGTCAAGATTGCTTAGGTTACGAAACCTATTTGTGTAAACTGTTACTTTTCTTATTAGTTCCTCTGCTTACGCAGTTTCAGACACAATCCAAACAAAGATAAATGAAGGGGTGAAGTTATTTGAAATCCATAAACACCCACATTTCTGGTTGTGTTTGTGCATATGGTTTTATAGAAATTTTCTCATCTGTCACTTGGTGTCTGATCAGGAATCTGAGACTTCTCATGTCACAATCCAAACTCGCCCCTAAAAATTTGATCTGACACTCCACTCTCACCCACGGCACTCACAACCCACACTCACACACACACCCACGGGATTGACAGACACACTCTCACCCACGGCACTCACAACCCACACTCACACACACACCCACGGGATTGACAGACACACTCTCACCCACGGCACTCACAACCCACACTCACACACACACGGGATTGATTGACAGACACACTCTCACCCACGGCACTCACAACCCACACTCACACAAACACCCACGGGATTGACAGACACACGTGCACTTTCTGATGCCAAAATTTTTTTTAATCAACCCCACTCCACTTTCTCTTATTTTAATATATCTCTATATATATATATATATGTCTATTTTATTATATTGCACAGACCATCGTCCTCTTCTCTCTCTCTCACTTTCACGCCCACAGTTTTGATCAAACCCAGCATATAGTTTCCAAGCCACCCATGTGGGCTTGTCCCCTCTTATTATTATTATTATTATTATTATTATTATTATTATTATTATTAAAAAAAAAA